GGGAGGGAGGGCCTTGTCTGGCAGCTGGGTCCTCTCCAGCAGAGGTCCGCAGCGCCCTCTGCCGGGAGACTCAGGCGGCGCACCCCAGGAGGACCCTGGCCCTCGGGACCGGGCGAAGCCTGCGGGGTGACAGCCTGGGCAGCCCGAGCGGGTGGGCGCGGAGTGTGGCGGTGGCCACGCGTGGCTGCAGGCACAGCTGGTCGGGCCCGCTCTGCCCGAGGTGTCCCTGCGTCCGGAGCACTGTTGGGTGGGAGCCAGGCGGGCTCGAGGCCGGAGCTGCCACCAGCTGACCAGCCTCGGGGTGCAGGGGCCTCTGCCTGCTCCACAAGGCTCCGGACCTGGGTGCTATGCGGTCCTGCCTGGGCCCCTGGAGCTCATGGCGTTTCTGATCCGCATGTGTGGCGGCCCGGGCTCCCTGGGAGCAGCTCACCTGCCAAAGAACCCTGGGAGGTGTGCAGACGCCGGGGCCACTGGCAGCGGGTGGAGGGGCCCCGAGGCCCCAGGGTGCTAATCCCAGGCCCCCAGGAGCAGGTGGACAAGGGCGGGGCGGGGCCTGAGGCCGAGCGCAGGCCTGTGGGCGCTCCTCCGGGGCTGGGGCTGAGGAGGCGGCCCCGCCCTCGCTGGTGGGAACACACAAAGCCGGCTGACGACACAAGTGTGCAACGCGCATGGTTGCTGTGTGCAAACTTGGTTCCGCACCTGACAAAGGGCAGAAGGTGCACAGGCCCAGGTAATGGATTCACCCTCAGCCCCGGTAAGTAAATGGAGCTTGGCAAGCCTGAGCAGGGGAGGCCTGCTGAGGCGCGGGGGCAGGGGCAGGGCACCCTCGCCACGGGGTGGGGGCTTCTCCCAAGCAACCGTTGGTGGGCTGGTACGAGCTGAGCCGGCACTTGGTGCCCAAAGCCCAGGGCCTGGACAGGAGGCGTTTTCAGCGCCACACAGTTCCCAGATAAAGATGGCAGCGGCAGCAGCAGCGTTGAATCCCGTGGGCTCTGGTCCCAGTCAGCGCCTCCCCAGGCCCGGCCATCGCAGGGCAAGTCCCGTGGTCCTCACCACCACGGCTGGACAACTGCCCCCCCCCCCGCAGGGCTCCCAAGCACCACGCGGCCAGCACTGGTCTCCAAACCTTTATTGAAGAGGGCGGAGGCCCTAGCAGTTGTCTGACAGACACACGGGGTAGGGGTGCGGCAGTTCCACATCCCCAGGTCCTGAGCGGAGGAGAGGGGTGCAGAGCCTGGGGTGTCTCCTCCCCCAGAAAAGGCACTGATGGGTGAGCACTCAGGGCGGGTCCGGGTCCTGGGCAGCAGCAGCGGGAGGGCACCCAGGGGCCCAGCCGGGCCGGGCTCTACCCTGGGCCGGGCATTCGGAAGGCAAAGCTCGCGAGAACAGTCCAGCCTTTCGGTCTTAGTGTTCTGTGCAACTTAAAAACCAACAAAATAAATATAACTTAAAGAGTCTTGAGGACACTAAGGGCGCGTCAGGGCGCAGCCGGGCAGGCGGCCGGGACCCAGGTGGGGCGTCAGCCGCAGCCCCTCAAGGCCATATGTCCGCAGACACGGGAGAAGGCTGCGGTAGGCAGGGCGGAGACAGCGCCCTAAACACAAAGCCCGAAGGAGGCTGGCAGGGTTGAGGCCGGCAGGGACAGAACCCGCGGCTATGCCGTTTCCCTGGGGACGGACCCCAGGCTGGGCCCCGGGGTCAGGGTCAGCTGGACGGACCCCAGGCTGGGCCCCGGGGTCAGGGTCAGCTGGACGGACCCCAGGCTGGGCCCCGGGGTCAGGGTCAGCTGCCAGGGCTGCGGCCTTGCCGCCATGCTTGCGTTAGGATGGTCCCGCAGTTTTGTTCATGTGATTAGTTGGCTTTGGAAGTGGGTTTTCCTAGGTAAACCGAGGCCTGTCTGCACTTACTGAACCGTCACCAGGGAGTTCATACCGGCCACCCCCTGAAGACGGCGTCACAGCCTCTCCGGTGACGCGGGGTGCAGCGTGAACGCAGCCGAACCCCCAGAGCCGGCCCAGGCTCCACGCCACGCGCCGCTGCTTCCCGATCTTGCGCCCAGCGGGCCAGGCCGGGGCCTGACCTTTACACGTCCACCCAGGCAGGAGCTCAGCAGGGTCAGAACCAGAGCCCGGAGAGCTCCGCTGTGTCCTTCACCCTGCCCTGCCCCCTCAGCCCACCCCGCCCCCCTCAGCCTCCGGCAGGAAGCGGGAAGCTCCCTTCACCCCGCAGACCCACCCTGCCCGCCGGCCGCAGGGGCTGCACAGCTTCCCGAAGCAGTCAGGCCTGGTGCTCGCTCCCCAAACCACAGCCTCTGAGCAGCAGCTGAGGGCGGGGAAGCCGGCCGGCACCCCGTCTCCTGACCCTGTGACAGGGAGCGCGCCGGTCCTGGCACAGTGCAGCCCGGGCTCGGAGCCTCCGCCACCCGCTCAGCAAGGCCTGCTTTACAGCTGACAGGCAAGGGACCGGCCCACAGACTCCAGAGAGGGAGGCCGGGCACGCCAGCCACCCCCAGCCCCACCCAAGACGACGGGGAACTTGGGATCTAAGCTCTTGGGTATATTCTGGGGAGACTCAGAAATGGTGCCAGAAGACAGAATTCTGATTCCTTCCAGCTAGTGCTGGCCTGGACCGGCCCCAGCCCCACAACAGCTAGAGACCTGGCCCCCGCCAAGGCCCTGGCGTAAAGCCTGGCCACTTAGCAGCTGGGGTGCGGGGCGATGGGGGACCGGCATCCTGCCAGATGGGATGGGTCCTAGAGCCGCATCCTGAGCAGGCCACAGGCCTCATCACGAGAATGGGGGCGTGAGTGAGGCCGGTGGAAAGCACCCCTCAGCCCGGCTCGGCCAGAGCCCCGTGGTGTCTGGGCAGACGCTCCAGACAGGCTGGGGTCCTGCCCCCAGGGCCGGGGCCACAGCACCCAGCCAGGCTGGCCTGCACAAGTGCCTGGAATCTGAGTCGGCCTGAAGGTGGAGGTTTAATACCAGGTGGCTGGGGCTGGAGGGTCGGCAGGGCCGGGGTCCTGGCTTAGCCGTCCCCGCAGGACAACTCTGAGTTTCTGGAAGAAGCCCAGGATGCTGCTGGCCAACAGGGATGCCTCCCGGTTGGGAGGCAGCAACTGTGCGGCTCACACTGGGCACGCAGGGGCAGCAGCCTCCACCCGTGGTCTGCAGGGCCCGGGCGTCTGCGGCCTCCTCAGCCTCCCCCCCCTCCCCCGCTCCCTCCAGCTCTGAGCAGGATGATGCTGACCCTGGGCTTCAGCGTCTCTTCTAGAAGGTGGTTCTATTTACAAAGAGAGGAAGAGGAAACATCACCTCCAAGCTCCCTGTTAGAGAAAGAACAAGAAAATCTCTCTCCTCTTCAACAAAGTGTCTGGTAGTGCAGTTCGGGTGGGTCCGGGCCTGGGCGGGGTGAGTAGAGGTGGAGGGCGGAGGGGGCGGGGCCACGGGCGGAGGGGGCGGCCTCAGGAGGGCGGGCCAGCCCGGCACATTTCAGACAGGATGTCGATGAGGTTGTTGAGTCCCGAGAGGTAGCCGTCCTCCCGGTTTCCCTCCTGCCAGGGCACGTCGTGCCGCAGGGTCTGGCCCTCGGGCAGCGGCGTGGTCTTCCCGAAGTCGATCATCCACACCTTCGCCTGCCCCTTCTTGTCGTGGATGAAGAGCAGGGAGCTGCCGATGACCTGCAGGCGAGCGGCCGTGAGGGGCTGAGGGCCCCGCGGGCCCGCTGCAGCCGGCCCGGCTGGGCACGGGGCTGGCCCGAGGTGGCCGTGGGGTGCCCGGGTCTGGGGGTGGCACCCCGCCCCTCCAGCCTGCGCATTTTCTATTTCCAGGTCACACCGCGCCTTGGGACCTCACCCCCCCACCCCTCCATGCCCGGCTCCACGCAATGCTGGGTGACTGCAGGGTTAACAAGAGGCCAGGCCTCCCCTCTGCTGCGCGGCCCGCACATAGCGCGGCCCGCACACAGCGCCGCCCGCACACAGCGCTGCCCGCACACAGCCCCGCAGGCCTCCCGAGCCTGGTCCCTGTGCATTTGCTGGAGACAAGGACAGGACAGGGCGATGGCCGTGAGGCCCGGGAGCCCCGGGCTGAGGGACAGGGCCCTGTGGCCTGTGTGCGCTCATGGCTGTCCCTGGGATCTGCAGGAGAAGGCAGCGTGCTCACCTCGTGGCACTTGAAGAAGGGGGAGATTTCCAGGGTTGCTCGAATGGCCTTCAGCCGGTCCCGGTAGGCGACCTGGAACAGAGACCGGCTTTGTTTACTCGCGGCGCGGCAGGGGCTGCAGCTCCGCACGGCAGTGCAGTCACTACGTTGGAAGTGGGAGTGACCTTACGCCAGGCCGCCAACTCCAGCCTCATCTGCCAACAAGGCACTGAGGCCCGTCGGCCCGTGGCCGGGGCCGTCCGGAGAGGCTGGGAATGGCTCCTCCCAGGGAGACGGGTGCAGCCGCGGGGCCTGACTAGAGGCCGGCAAACCTGCGGCCTGGCCACGGAGGCCGAGCGCTGCGGCGCCGCTCCGGGGAGCACGGTCCCCCAGTGCCAGCTCTGAGGTCACTGGCCGGGGCTGCCGGGGTGCCCATGGCACAGGGGCTCCGGATGCCCGCTGGACAGCAGCGGTCAGCAGCTGGGCAGGGCCGGACAGCACTTCCTGGAGCCCTGGCAGCGGGACCGCGCTCTCCACGCACAGCACACTGCCCACCCCAGCGGGTGCCCGCACAGGCCCAGCCCGGGGCCCGGCTCGGAGCACACCGCGTGCCCCCTGGCGCTGCTCACCAGGATGCGGTGGTCCCCTTGCGTGAACTCCCGGAACGCCTCCGTGACCTGCTCCTTGGTTTTGGTCTTCTTGAAGTCGCGGTTCACAGAGCCATCCTCCTTCTACCAGGTGGGGGAGGCACACGCATCGGCAGAGGGTCCAGGGCGGGCGGCGGGCGCGGGCGGCGGGCCACCTCTACCCTGCAGTGGCCGCAGCACTGAGTGCTGTCCTGTCCCTCCCATGACTCTGGGCCCCAGTGACCGGCCGGCACCGTGGGGGCGCACGGCGGCCGCCGGAGTTCCTGCCTAGATGCCACCTGAGAAGAGGCTGCAGGGGGACACCACACCGCCCACGCTGCACCCACACGCGGAGGCCGGTGTGTGGGGCAGAGGCCCAGGGCCTGCAGAGCTGCCCCTGCCCCTGCGGAGGGGCCTGGCCTTGGCTCTGGTCCTGGGCCTGGGGGGGCCAGGGACGTGTGCAGCGGTGGCGGTGGCAGCCGGCTGCACGGGCAGAGGAGGGAGCCTGAGCCCTGGGGGCCACAGGCGGCGGGAGCGCCCCTCGGCGTACCCCAATGAAGGAGCTGCTCCGCTGGGCCCAGCGCAGGCCGGGTCAGGCGGGGACCTGGGCAGGGCTGACCGTGGGGCAGGGCCACTCACGGGGCCAGCCTGACGCCCCGTCCTGCTCCCGCTGTGAACGGAGCTGCGTGCGGGCGGCTAGCGCCGCTCCCCGAACCCTACCTTGATGCCCTCGATCCGGAAGCCCAGGGTGGCGGTGGAGCTGATGGTCTCCCTCCACTGCATGTAGCGGGGTTTGGTCACCGCCCGCTGCGCCTTCTCCTCCTCGGTGGGGGCCTCGGGGTCCACCTCCACCATCTTCTGGTACATGTCCTTCCGTAGGCTGGGCTTCTTCCGGGCCTTGCTGAGCTCCTCCTCCAGGTACGTCCTGTGCGGCACGTGGGCATCAGACCGGTCCGTCCTCCCGCCGTCTCCCTGTCCTCGGGTGGCCGGAGGCCAAGCCTGCCTTCGACACCTCCTGACCTCTCCAAAGTGTGTCTGAGAGCCGGGCAGTGGCAGGGACCCCGGGGCTGAGGAGCCATGCCTGGGGCAGGGCTCAGCGCCCCGAAATGCTCCTCCCTGGCACAAATGGGGGTCAGCTGGGGGCTGCAGGGACCAGAGGTGCTGGAGAGGCGGCCAGCAGCCACCGCCAGGCTCCCACGCTCACCTCCAACCCGCAGGGGTGACTCTCCCTGCCCCCACTCCTGGGAACCCCTCCGCCACAACGAGCACCCCGAGCAGCTGGTCTTGGCTGTGGCTCAGAGACCCCGTGCCCCCCACACCCCAGAAACATGTCCAACCCTCTCCAGACTGCGGCTCTGGGACCCAGAACAGGCTGGACAAAATCTACACCTTACAGATGGTGGGTTTTCAAATATGTACTGAAAGAAAAAGGCAAGGAGGACCCCAAATCCTTGGGTGTGAACCTGACCTTTCAGGAGATCAGACCCAGCCGGTACTAGTTGCTGGCTGGGGGTCTGTGTGCCTGCGCCGGGCAGGGCAGGCCCACGCCCCACACAGGGCAGGCAGACCCACAGCCCACACCCCATGCCCCACGCTGGACAGGCCCACACCCTACTCCCCACATCCCACACAGGGCAGCCAGACCCACACCCCACGGCCCACGCCCTGCGTTGGGCAGGCCCACGCCCCACGGCCCACATCCCACACAGGGTAGGCAGACCCACAGCCCACACCCCACGCCCCACACTGGACAGGCCCACACCCCACGGCCCATACCCCACGCCCCACACAGGGCAGGCAGGCCCACGCCCTGCGTTGGGCAGGCCCACAGCCCATGGCCCACACCCCACACCGGGTAGGCAGACCCACACCCCACACCCCACGCTGGACAGGCCCACACCCTACGCCCTGCTTTGGGCAGGCCATGCTGACAGGCAGCACTAGACACCGGGCCGTGTGTGCTGTGGGAGGGGCTCCGCCTTGGGGCCCAGGCAGGTCTGCAGGGTGAGCGAGGCCGCACTTCTGCAGAGAGCTATCAGTGGCTCTTCAAGCAGGAACCTGTCAAGCCCCATTCACACCAGCCTTTCTCCAGAAAGGGCTCAGGGCCTGGTCTGGGCAGTCCCCCACCCCATACCCATCCCCCAGGGTGGGCGGGGAGCTGGGGAGAGAGGCCCCCAGGGCACAGCCCCTGGCTGGGTGGGAAGGCAGCAAGGTCACGGGGAGCCAGCAGGGGGCAGCAAGGCCACCCCAGCTCCCAACGCTCCTTGGGGGCAGCAGCCCAAGAGCACCCCAAACCAGGATGGTGTCCGTCCCCATGGAGCCAGGTCCCAAGGGGCCCGGTTAACGATGCCAAGGCCACGCTGAGGGTGCAGCGGCCGGCCAGAGCTGTGTCCCCCTCGGTCCCCGTCTCCCTGCAGCCCCGGCATGGGGGACCCCTGCTTCCTGCCCTCTGGCTACTCCATCTGCCTCAGTCAGCAATTCCTTTTCTATTTAACACGTAACCAATTATACAGAGACATGTATGTGTGTGTTTGTGTGCACACCTATGTTCAATTACATTGAAGCGTACAAACAGCTCTCTTAGAGTTTTGCTGTGAAAAGCGGGCCGCAGCTTGGAGAGTGAGAGAAATGGAGAGTTTGCAGAATATGAGCCTAGCAAAGGGCTGGGGTGCTCAGCGGCAGGGCCCTGGCCTCGCCCACAGAGGGCCCCCCAGCTCCCCTGAGGGGGGGGTGCAGCTGTGGGCCCCGGCTGCACCTCTGCCCCCAGCTCCCCTGAGGGGGGGCGTGGCTGTGGGCCCCGGCTGCACCTCTGACCCCAGCTCCCCTGAGGGGCGCGGCTGCGGGCCCCGGCTTGCACCCCTGCGCCCGCACTGGAGGCGCCAGGCTCACCTGACGCCCATCTTGCAGTCCATCACGCACGGCGTGTCGAAGTCGGCCAGCAGGTCCTCCATCTGGTTGTAGCGCTCCCCGTCCTTGACCACGTCCCCGTGGTAAGCAGGCACGAAGGGTCTCAGCACGTCCACCATCAGCCGGTCCAGGCAGCGCTGCTCCGACTCACAGTGTTTCTTCAGGATCTGACCGTTGGCGGCGGCCTTGAAGCTCCCTGGGGGTGGGGGGCGGGGGGAGGGGGAGGCCTGAGTCCCCAGCCGTGGTGGTCAGGGACCCGGCACCCACGGGGCAGCCCTCTGAGGGGCGTCAGGGACCCGGCACCCACGGGGCAGCCCCCAGAGGGCAGCACGGGGCGGGCCCGCCTCCTTCTGGGCAAGCCTCCTCCAGGCAGTGCCGATCCCGCTGTCCCCACCCGCCGACTGCCCGCCTCTTCACCGAGGCCGCAGGGGAGATTGTTGCCTCTCAGCCACCACTGGAGTCCGGCCTAGCCTAGTCCCAGGCTTGCTCCCCAGGCGCCAAGGCGCCGGGTCCCCAGGAGAGGCTGCGGAGGACGGGACTCCGTGGCAGGAAGGGATGGCGGTAGCCTGAGAGGTCGGGGGCAGGGCCTGCGCGGCACTCCCGAGCCTGACAGACGCCCGTCCGGGGACACGAGGGCAGCCCTGGGGAGCCTAGCTACGCGGGAAGCGGAGGTCCGGAGGACTAGTTCAAGGACAGCCTGAGTGAGAAGTCAAGAGACACTGTCTCAGCCAGCCGCCGTGCGGCGGGGCAGGGTGCCGTGCCCACCTGTCTCCCCACTGTAAAGGAAGCCTACCGAGGAGCCGCAGTCCAGGCCAGTGTGGGAAAAAGTCAGACCCTATTTGGAAAGCAACCGAAGTGAAGAGGGCCAGCCGCACAGCTCAAGCCGTCAAGGGCCTGCCCAGCAAGCACAAGGCCCCGAGTTCCAGCACCCCAGAAGAAGCAACACGGAGCCAGTGCTGGCTCAGAACCTGCCGGCGGTGGGAGTGACGCCAAGGGCGCAGGCAGCCACTCGAGTGCCACCAGCAGGAGACGCTGCGCCCCCCAACCCGGCACCCCACCACAGCCTCCCCACAGAGACTTGGGATGTCGGGGGACTCATGGGTGGCTTCCCAGCCCCAGGCTCCTCTGGGATGTCGGGGGGCTCATCGGTGGCTTCCCAGCCCCAGGCTCCCCTGGGGCAGAGGCCACGCCTCCTACGGCTGCCACCCGGGACGCAGCACACAGTAGCTGCCCGTGAGACGGCCCTGCCAGTGTGGCCACGGTGGGCAGGCTACATACTACCCACCTCACCAGTTTCATGGAGCAAAACTGGAAGAGTGTCACAGAAAGAAAAGACTGGGAGGAGGAAGAGACAGGCAGAGGGCTGGAGGGGGTGTGTGTTTGGGGAGCAGGGGTGTACCGGGGCGTTCGCAGGGTCTGCATTCATCTACCAGGCCACTGCCCTTCAGATGAGGACGCCTCCCAGAGAAGTGGGGGACTTTTTCTTCCCCCAGCATCCAGGCCAGGAGCCCCACCCCATGGCTGAGCCCCCCCATGGCCAGCCCCTCCCCCATGGCCGAGCCCCTCCCCCATGGCCAGCCCCTCCCCCATGGCCGAGCCCCTCCCCATGGCCGAGCCCCTCCCCCATGGCCAGCCCCTCCCCCATGGCCGAGCCTCTCCCCATGGCCGAGCCCCTCCCCATGGCCGAGTCCCCCCATGGCCAGTCCCCCCATTCCCTGGGTGCCTCTCGGGGCGCTGTACCTGCGTGTCCGGCCAGCTGGATCCACGGGTACTTCTTCTTGAAGGACATGACAAAGGGGGACCAGTGCACCATGTTTTTGATTTTCCTCCATGACTTGCTCTAGAAGCAAGCGAGTCAGAGCCGCATTAGACAGACAGCTGCCGCTCCCGGGGCAGAACGGATTCAAGGCAAGGGAATTCTGTGCCTGCGGCCGCCAGGCCCTGCGGCGCTGAGCACCGTGCAGCCGAGCGCTAGGGCGCCACGTGTACTGTTCACCAACAGGCTGCCCAAGGTCAGGGTGCTCCGGGCAGGGTGAAGGAGGTTTGAGGAGGGACACAGGAATTATCACAATGAAACAGTCAGGCACTATTTGTTGTTTTTTTGTCAGTTGTGAGGTTGAACTCTGGGCCTGGGCGCTGTCCCTCAGCTCTTCAGCTCACTTGAGCTACAGCACCACTTTGTTTTTGGGTGTTTCATTGGAGATATGAGTCTCATGGGCTTTCCTGCCCTGACTGGCTTTGAACTGTGATCCTCAGGTCTCAGCCTCCTGAGTAGCTAGGATGACATTGGCGTCCAGCCCAGTCTTACACTGTTAATGTATGTGAATTCAAAAGTAAAAACAAATGTGTTCCTGAGCAGCAAAGCCACAAATGAGCCTGAGACCTGGGAAGAAGTCAGGAGATCTCTGCAGGACAGGACGGGGTCTGGTTGCTGGGGACCCCTGAGGACGGGGCCCCTCACCCTGCCCGGAAATGCCCAGCAGGCCCTGCGGAGCCCACGGCGGCTGCAGGGCCTCAAGCCAAGACCTCCATCTCTGTCGCTTCTGTCGGCTGCTCCGTCAGGTCTCACGTTCAAATCTGCCCAAGGAGAGGCATTTTCTCCAGAGAGAAGCTGGCAACTCTGACTCACACACACTTCTACCACTAGGCCATGTAGTTTGAGGCCAGGGCAGAACACGAGCAGGCCAGGCTGGCTCCAGCCCTGGGCGGCACCGTAGCACCAGCTCTGCGCACACGCAACGCTGCATGGCGGCGGGCGGCCGCCACAGCAGAGCCTTGGCACCGAAGGGCTCGGCGGGAGCCCCCTTCCCAGCTCCAACACCCAGCAGGCCCGGAGGAGGTGGCGGGACCGGTGGCTGGTGTCCAGTGGGACCATGTGAAGCCACACAGCAGCATCTTTCTCTGGCGTCCGAGACTAGAAAGGGGTGCTCCAAGCTGGGGGCCCCTGACGAGTAGAAGGGATCCAAGTGCTCCCGACTCCCGGAATGGGGAGAGAGGGCATTCTTCTGTCTGGCTTACCTATCCCCACACACTTCTTCACAACCAGAACTCCCCCACACTCCCTTGGCCAAGGCCAGAGGGTCTCCCACCTCTGGAAGGCTCTGGAATATTCTGGAGAAGGGCCAGGCTTTTGCTCGGCAGATTGCTGCACGCTGGCTGGCAGCAACACGGGGC